GGAAAACTTCTAAGTATAACCCGGGAGGCATCAGTGGAGGTGTTGGTCAGAAAAGAAGAATAAGTTGGACCCAGTTAAAAAGAAAATTTCATACAACCCAAAGTTACCATAATCGAAGCTAAACCTCTACAAACTCGCCCTAGAGTGGGAGCTGGCCCCAGGCTCCGCTGACCCACCTGCATCAGGCGGCTGGAGGGACGGGGGAATTTCTCCACCGAGAAGAGGACGCCTGAGCTGAGCTTCCTGTCCAGGCCTCGCGGGGCCTGGGGCAGAGCCGGGCCTGAGCCCAGGTCGTGCCGCACCCAGTCCCCTTGTAGGTTCCGTCAGACGCCAACCCCTGCCTAGTGCAAAGCGCTGCAGGTGCTCAGGCCGTGGCGCTGGGCCAGCCTCCCGCTGCTTTCCCAGAGGTCCCCCAGGGGCTGTGAGCACCACTCTGATCCAGAGGGCAGGGCCGCCAGGGACCCCCAGGTGACCGTCTGCTGCGCCACCTGCTCCCTGTGCCGGCGTCTCCCAGGCGCCGTGGCTGCTTCAGGGAAGGTGGTGGTCCGTCGGCTCACTGACAGCACGGTGAGGTGCTCCGTGTAAATCTACAGGGAAGGGTTTGGAGAGATGGTGATGGACGTGCGTTGTCAGAGGTCGGTGTGTCCGAGAGCCTGTCGCTGACCCTGCTTCCTCCCCTAGGTGAAGCCAGGCCCCCAGAGCGTGTGCAGCAGACCGACCTGGCTGCCACCCTGGCGGTGGGGCTCGGCCTGCCCATCCCGCAGCACAGTGTGGGCCGCTTCCTGTTTCCAGTCGTGCAGGGCAGAGCCCTGCGGGAACAGCTGAGGCTCCTACACTTGAATGCAGTGCAGCTCAGCAGGCTGTTGCAAGTGCGCGTCCCGGGGTACAAGAAAGGTGAGTCACGGCCACCCTCCGTCAGGCCGGGCCCCCGCGTGACCTGGCCCTCGCTGCGGCCTGGCTGTGCTCTCAGAGCTCGGCCATCACCGTGAGCAGCACCAGAGGCCGTTGTCTCCGCCACGTGCTCCCATAAGTGTGCTCAGTCAACAAGGGGTGACTCTTCCCACTCAGTTTCTGTTTGGAAGCAGGGCCAGGGCTGCCCTCATGGAGCGCAGCTTGAGAGGGAGAGCAGGCGGCCATTGATGTCAGGCGGTGTGTGGGTGGCGAGGGCCTGGGAGGGAGCATGTGGCAGATTCGGTCCTGGCGGTGGGGGGGGGGGGGGGGGGACGTGCCTCACTTTTGCAGGGATGAAAGGGCGGGAGTGGCTGGAGCAGAGGAAGGCACAGGCCGGGAGGCCGGGGGTGTGGGGCCTCTGGGACCCTGGCTAGAGGAGGGGCTCTCGCTGTCGTCCTGAGCTCTGCAGCCGGCCCTTGGGAGGCTCTGGGCCCAGGGAGGCTGGAGGAGAGCTGGGAGGAAGCTGCCCAGAGAGGACTCGGGATACGGAGCCGGTGGAAGACGCAGGTTATTGCTGAGAGGCAGGCAGGGCACCCATGCGGGGGCGGCGGGGCGGTGGGGGGGGGGGGGGCGCGGTGATTGTGGATGTGGTGGAGACAGCGGCAGGCACCCGTCCGCCTAGTCCTCACACAGTGTGAGCATGGGAAGGTAAAGTCGAGGGCCTGTTAACACGATGCATTTCTGGGTGGTTTTCCATCGCAGGAGCAGAGGGGAGGGAAGGAGAGAGGGAGCAGGGGAGGAGGAGAGGCAAGGAGCCCAAGGAGGCAGAGGGATGGGGGCGGTCGGCTGGAAGGAGGTTGGAGGGTGCTGGCCCGTGACCAGCCCACACACGAAGGTTCCTGGGCGCCAGCTGTGAGGTTCTCCCACAGGCCGCGTAAGCACACTGGGAACCTAGTGCCTACGTCTGTGCTGCATCCCCAACCTGTTCCTCTTCTTGTCAGAGCATGGATTCGAACATTTTAAAATATCAGAAAGGCTGCACGGAAACTGGGTCAGACTGTACTTAGAGGAAAATAATGCAGAAATCCTTCTCAACATGGGAGCCAAGGCCCGCAAGCAGTACCTGTACACCCTGAAGGCCCTGAGCCAGGCCTTGAGCAGCCAGGAGGCCCAGTACGACATGTACTCGATGGTGGTGGGGACCGTCGTGGTTCTGGAGGTATGGTGCTCGCACGGAGCGAGGCTCACCTGTGGAGCCGGCTCGATACCCCAGCCAGGATATTGCAGTGGAGTGTCTGTAGCACATCCGTGTTCCCAAAAGCAGGAAACTGGTTTTCCTGTTTGCTCACGTGTGCCCTTGTGCACAGTCCTGTCCAGGCGGGTGGCTGGAGGCGTGGTTTGGGCCTTTCCCTGCCGCCATTGTGGACCAGCCCGTGCTTTCCCGCCCAGGTCCTCGCCCTGCTCCTGCTCAGCGTCCCGCAGGCCCTGGGTGCCACGGCGAAGCTGGAGGTCCCCCTGTCGCCCGTGTGTTCTCTGCTCTTCTACGTGATGTTCCTGCTTCTCTGGGCCATGCACATGGTCGTGTGCACCTCGACTGAGAGCTCCCTCTACCTGTGCAGCCTCGCGTGGCCCATGGCGGGCGGGGTGCTGGCGCTGGTCTCCGCGCTGCTCTGTGGGGTCTTGTCCACTCTGACCAGGATGTGTTTGCGTGGAAAGTTTCTGAGGAGGGTAAGGCTGGCTCCCGCAGATGGGACACATCTCTTTGTGTAGGCTGCACTTGGTAGTTGAGTACCTTCCCCCCCCCCCCCGCCCCCCCCCCTCGCATGTGCGCGGCAGGTGCAGCGCTGGCCGGAGCCGGGGAGGGCAGCCTGTCCCCAGGCTCTGGGCCCACCTCACACTCTCAGCTCCAGGTTGACAGGTCCCAGGCCTCGCCTGTCAGGTCGGAAGACAGGGTCCTGGTGAAAGAGAGGGTGGGAGAGTGAGAGAGACAGAAACATCAATGATGAGAAAAAATCATGGATCAGCTGCCTCCTGCATGCCCCACACTGGGGCCCGAGCCCATAACCCAGCCATGTGCCCTGACCGGGAATCGAGCCGTGACCTCCGGGTTCATAGGTTGATCTCAACCACTGAGCCACACTGTCTTTAGTTTTATATGCTTCAAGTTGGTACATTGAAGGGATGGTGCTGTGATGCCAGCTTTGTCATTTCAGTAGAATGAACATTTCAGTGGAAACTTCTGGATTTCTGGAAAATTCATGGTTGGATTCTTGGGAAATATCGTTGAGGTTCTTTGGTTTAGTAGCGGGATCTGGCTGTGGCTGCCTGACGACCCAGGCTCGAGAGGACGAAGATGTTGTATGAAGGGCTGGGTCCAGGGGCCGGGCCCAGGTCTCTGAGCCCCCACGCTGCCCAGGTGGTGCGGGTCTAGGCACCATGTCTCGCCACCGGGCTTCGGACGGGCTGTGCTGAGGAGGGCAGGCCATGCCTCCAGAGCCAGGGAGCATCTGATGCGTGTCCCGTGGGTTCTGCTCTGTGCCCAGCGTGCAGCACGCTGTGTGCGGTTCTCAGATCTCCCTTACGAAGTCCACCCTCCTTTCTGCAGAACCGAGCTCCTTCCCACTGGAAGTGGTCGGAGCTGGACTTCCTCGTCCTGGCGGGGACGGCAGGCCACGTCCTGAGTCTGGGTGCGAGCAGCTTCATCGAGGAGGAGCACCAGACCTGGTACTTCCTCGTCAGCACCCTGTGTCTGGCTCTGAGTCACGAGAGCTACCGAAGCTGCTTCCTGGGAGACGACGAGGAGCCTGAGCATTGCCCGCGGGTGGCAGGAGAGTTTGCCGGCGCGGCATCAGCGTTGCAGGGCAGGAGCGTCAGCTGTGACGTGTTAGAGCTCGACCGAGCGCGCCAGAGCCCCTCTCCCCTGGACGGACTCCGGGGGCGTGAGAAGTGCATGGCGCTGGCCGGCCCGTGGCTGGTCCTCGGCTGCTGCCGGCTGCTGCGGTCTCTGAACCAGACGGGGGTGCAGTGGGCCCACCGCCCTGACCTGGGGCACTGGCTCACCAGGTGAGAGCACGCGCCGTGGCCAGTAGTCGCCTTTCTCCACTTGGGGCCCGTTTGCCATGTTCAGGATGGAAGTGGTGTTTGAGCTTTGAAGAATTAGAAAAATACACCCTAGCGCATGAGTTGATGTTGAAAAGCACACTTACATCAGGCTAGCCCATGTGGTTGGTTTTATGGCCGAATCACTGCAGCTGATGTTTGAGAATCTGTGAGTTTTCAGTGGTGATCACAGCGAGGAGCTGGCCCTGCCCTGGCCAGCTGCTCCCGGGAGGACAGGCTGTGACGGACGTGGTCAGAAGCCTCGACAGCTAGTGGCTGTGCGGGTGCTGCTTCAGCACCTGGGAGAAGTGCAGCAGGTGAAACCCAGACTGGAAAGGGGGGCTCATGACAGTTAGAGGGGGCGGTGGCGCTCAGGACAGTCGGACGGGTGCTGTGAGGGGCTCAGGACAGTCACAGACACCCTGCAGCAGGAAGCTTCAGCAGGAGAACAGGGAAATGCTTACTCCGACCAGCATTTGGGAGTTTCAGGTAGAATAACAGGGCACAACCTTTATCTAAGAAGGTAGGGAACAGAAGGGATAGGCGGCCTGGGTGAGGCCGCGACCTGGCCCACACGACAGTCACTGGGGAAACAGTGTGGCCTGTGCCTCCAGCCCGAGTGTGGCTCCTTCCTTGACTGCGAACTCTATGGGGAATCTCCCATCCCAGCGACAGCCCAGCGCCCGGGCAGCGCTCCTGGGCTGCTGCTGCGAACCCCCTCCTCGCCCTCAGTGGCCTGGAGAGAGGAGCCGAGGCCGAGCCCACGGGCCCTGGGACCGCACTGGGGCCCGCGCCTCCGTGCTGGCGGGTGCTGTTCCTCCCCACACTGGACCGGGCCCTTCCCCTCGGCTGCTTCTGCGTCTCGGGCTGTCCCTGCCGGTTTGCAGAGGCGGCCCTGGGACCAGGACAGAGCTGCTTGGGGGCATCCAGGCTCGCCTTCTGGTGCTTTTTCAGTTGTGACTTTTACCACCAGGACAGGACATAAATGTCCAGTTTAAACAGCAACAATGAGTGGACCCCATGTGACCACCCCCAGAGCAAGGCCCTGGCCACAGGCACCCTCTGCCTGTTTCCCAGGCGTGTTTCCTTCGTGTGTTTCATTTCGTGAGTGAGCAGTGCTCCCGGCGGCAGCAGTGGGCGTGGCCACGCAGCAGGGTGCCCACCCACCCTGTAACCGCTGCCTGTGAGCCTCCCAACTTCTCTGGGGTCTCGGGCCCTGAACGGAGATCACACCGGGAGGTGCATGACTCCCCGGAGTGGGATGTACCCTGGGAAGCACGGGGTTTGCCCAGCAACTCCTCACCTGTGTAGGGAACGTGGCTGCCCAGAAAGGGGCGCATGGCCGAGCGGTGGGTGGGCCACTGTGGACAAGAAGCGGTAGGTCAGGGCGACAGCCCTTCGTTTGTATGTTGTGAGAGCCTCAGTCTGCATTTCAATCACCAACCGTTTTCTTCCATGCTTTTCGGGAAAATCAGCTGTTCTTAGGACAGTTCTTAGAAAGCCACGCAGCAGAGACCCAGCATTGCTAGCTACACTTGTGGGTAATTCCTGGCACTTCCCGTTCCCTTTCAGCTCTGACCACCAAGCCGAACTCTCCGTCCTTGCTGCCCTTTCCCTCCTCGCCATCTTCGCGCTGGTTCAGAGCAGGTGCTCCTCGGTGGCCAAGGGGGCCCTGGCGCTTGGCCTGCTGGGTGTCTACTGCTACAGGGCAGCCACTGGCCACGTGCTGTCCCCATGGCAACAAGACAACAAGGACGTTTCCAGGTAATGTGCTGCAGCCCGGGGGCTTGTTTTGAGGTCTCTGGCTTCTGAAGGGACACCTGCCTGCTGCCTGTAGGACGTTGTTGAAGTGGTTTCACCCAGAGATCCGAGGGCCTGGCTGAGCGCGCTCAGTGAGCTGACCGTGCCCTCTGTCCTGATGGGAGACAGTTGCTCGGCGGTGAGGTGTTTGAGGCTCATTTTTTTTAATTAAGGAATTTTTTTAAAAAACAAGGCGTCTCAAGGATTCAGTGTTGCTTGGTCAGGACGAAATGAGATAGAAGAGCGAGTGGGTGTTGCCTAGCAGTTGGGAAACGTGGCAGAAAACTAAACTCGCCCAGGTCTTGCAGGGAACCCCTGAGGAGCCTCATGCTGCTGAGCCCCGAGTCACCTTGCAGGTCAGGGCAGCTGCTCTGTCTCCAGGAGACGGGGGGCAGTGTCCCAGGACTGTTGGAAACGTGGGGACCCTCCGACCCAGGTGTCCTCTCGAGCAGCGAGGAGGCCCGAGGCGAGGGGGGTGCTCTGCTCTCCAAGGCACTAGCGTTGCACCGTGGGAGGCGGCAGGGCCAGCCTTGGGGGAGCTCTGAGCGAGCGAGGCTTGTTCTGGGCTCTCAGCCCCTCGGCGTCTGCTGAGTTGTGTGCTTTCACAGGACGTGTGAAGACGCAGAGCTGCAGGCTGTCCCTCTGTGTGTGGCCTGAGCTTGTGAAGTAGGAGCGTCGCTTTTCATGTTCATGTCAGACTCGCAGAGGGCACTGGCCCTCGGTGGGTAGGTGGCTGAGGGGCGCGGGGTACCCCTGGAAATGGCCTGCCAACTGGCGTGGGGAGTCAGTGATGCCAGGGGCCTGGTGAGGGGACTGCACCCGACACAGGGAGGCCAGATGGGGACGGCGTGGTGTGCAGGCATCTCAGAGGAGGTGGGGCACCTGCCAGAGATGGACGTCACATGCCGGGTGCTTGATGCAGCTGTTGGTCTCAATCTCAGAGTCTGTGACGCACAAGCAGACCCTCCTTTCCTCTCTGGTTGACGCACCGATTTCAGCATCGCTCGCTTCAGAGCTTGGGGCGGTGTGATCCTCTCACGGACCCAGCGGCTTGTAGGCCGGAGCCCCCTTTGGTGAATCTGTGCTGCTGGGTTCACGTGCTTCCTGCCAAGTGCCTCCTGCCCGGCCTCTCTGTCCCGGTCCTCGGCCCCTCCTGCTGCCAGAGCCGCTCAGCCCAGAGCTGTCCTGAGTCTAGAGCACTGGCAGCTGCTTCTCCGCTCGGGCCAGGTGCTGCTGCCTGTCCATCTCCTAGAACCGCCTTTACGTTTAATGCCTGGCTCTCCTCACGTGGAAGCCCATGCCCAGCGGGCAGGGGCGGCCAGGCCTCGGTGGTCACCCGGCATTCAGCCCTCCCCGCTACGCTCTGGCCACTCTCTGATCCTGAGGGTCTGTCGTTTGCTCAGCGTGGCTCCCGCCTGGGTGGGCTGCGCCTGACCACATCTCCGTGGCAGGCCTGACCACATCTCCGTGGCAGGCCTCGTGGACAGGGTTTCGCTGTTTGAATTAAACTCATACTAAAAAGATAATTTTTAAAAAATGCGTAAACCTTCCTAAGAAAATCTGAAAGTTTATTTTTTCAAAAATATATATTGTTTTGATTATTTCATTTACATTTTTACCTAGCGTTACTGTATTTATTTGTTCTTACTTTGAGAGGATGTGTATTAAAGCTGGGACAGGTCACAGGAAGGGCTCAGGGTAGAAGCACCAGGAGAGCCCAGGTGGGGCACTCGGCTTTACTTTAAATAATCGCCTTTCTAGTGTAAAATATTTGCTTTATGAAGTTTTTTAAAATTTATTTATTGTCTAAAGTTTTACATATGCCTCCTTTTTCCCCACTTGACCGCCCCCCAGCCATTCCCACCCCCACAAGCCCCCACCACCCCCGTGTCCGTGGCCACTGGTGATGTAATGTGTATGCCCAC